CTTACTATTATATCTTTGTTTTTGTGTGTGGAAGTAAAGTTATTTATTTTACTCTAGATGTAAAATATACCGGAAGGTACAACTTCACACTGCATCATCTTTTCTCAAATCATTAGTCTCTGATATGATACCACTTTGTACGCTTATGTAAAATGCTGTATATAGTTTCTCCTCCCTTTTACTGTGTGACCGATCGCTCTTTTTATCAATGACCTCATCTGAATAAATGTATATAAAAGATTCGTGCAAGTTTCATGACACTGGAACTCAGAGTCACTTCTTGTATAGGACACTAAGTGTAGGCTTTGAAAAAGGACCCTACTTTGGGGAGTTGTTTCTTCTTTCACAGTGCAATGATGCAACATGTTTTTAATAGAAATGAATGCCGAAATAGAGTATAACAGGGTACCCAAATTTTAAAAATATCGAAGGTGGTGTTTTTTTTTTATTCGCATTGGAATTTTTCTTTGTTTGATTTTTTTTCCCATGTTTGCCTAAATATATTGTAACTATTGTGTCACTCAGATACCTTATTTATTTTTTCAATAATAGCCATATATTAGTAAAATAATGTCTGCAAGTTATGTAATAATGATTAAATTATTTCATGAGATACAGATTTCCAAAGTTTGCCATTTGTCGTTCGAGCAGGCATGTTTGGCAATTTTTAGAAAACTAAATAAATTTTTAATAAATATTATTACTTTATATTACAAGCAAGTTGTACCCATAGTTTGTTTGTAAAAAGTTTTAAAATTCTCCTAATTTTATTGTTTTAATTGTTCACTTTCAAACTTGCCCCCTCCATCAGTGCGCGTTATTGCAACTGTCCACCTCTCCCTGCCTTACGATTTTTCTTGTCTCCAAATTTTTTTTCTGGTCAAAACTAAGTGTGGATTCGTTTATACCAGACACTAGACAATGTCATATAAAAACATCAGTTGATTTAAAAATGTCGACCAGCCACCCTTTTGTCGATCTTATCTGAAATCACCCATTTGTAGTCTGTACTGGGCTACAGGAGTTGTATACAGCAGACAGAAGTACTCAACTGGTTGTTTTTTTGTTTTTGTTTCTGCGACAAAGGTTTGCTTCAGATGGATGCAAGCATCGTCTGTAGCTGCTAGCTGCGGTAGTATTGGGCCAGATGAGGGAGATAAGCCGGGTTGTTTTGTGAAGCCCAGATGGCTGCCCGATCCAAAAACAAAAATTCAACAAAATAAAAAAAAATTGAGGATGACACTCTGGGAGTTGCAGTTCTGAACGCAGAATCTGGCAGCTGCAAGCTGTTTGAAGCCCCTCTTACAGCATACAAGTGTTGCTTTTTATTTATTATTTGTTTGTGTGTGTTTCTGGTCCTTTTTGCTAGAGTGGGAGGCGGGGTTTTGGGGGGGGGGGGGGGGGGGGGGGGGGGGGGAAACTTCATAACTAATCACGAGTGAATGGGGCTGTTGGAAGCAGCTTCTTGGGGATGGATTAGGTACCGGTGTTTGGGTTGCTACTGGGGCGATTGAAGTCTATGCAGTGGCGTAAGAATAGGTATATTTTTCCTTTGTAATCCTTCTTGAGGTGTCCCCAAAGTGTGTTTTGAGAGAAGTGAGTCCTTAAGCCGCTGCCTCATAGATTACACAAGCTTGTGAGCTGGATGCTTAGATGCAAAAAAGTTGGCACACCTAGCTTGTAAATGCATCACTTTGTTTACAAATCATATGATACCGAAAGTCTTGCCTGTCATTCCCGTGTTTATCCATCATACCGAAAATCTTGCCTGTCATTCCCATGTTTATACATCATAATTTTCTCCTAAAACTATAGCTTCAGGAGAAAATGAATTCTTTTATATTTTAATAAAGTAATTTCAGTTATCTATTCCTTAATATCATACACCTCCTCTCACTCTCTAAAGATAACCCACCCCTATATTTGGCATGATTTGCAATTTTTTAAAAAACCCTCAAAGATCCCCCTTCCCTCCCCCTAGTAAATGCACTGCCTGGGCCAATTCTTCTGGGTGACTTCAATTTTCCCGCTATATCATGGTCAGATGACGTTCATTGTATGAATGTACACACTACAGAGTGTAATTCGTTCATTAACTTGTCTCTCGATTTTAACCTGTCGCAATTAGTTCTTCATCCCACCAGAGTGTCTCCGACGACAGCAAGTGTTTTAGATCTAATATTGGCTACTCACCCTGAACATGCAAGTGACATAACTTATCTTCCAGGGATCAGTGATCACTCTATGTTACATTTTCATTTCAAAACGTCGGTCTCTAGGCCGACTGACCAACGGAAGAAAATACGCGATTACAGTAGAGCGAATTTTGATCAGATCAACAATGATCTTGCGGTTTTCTTTGACCAGTATTTGACAGACTTTTCGGGGCGCTCGGTTGACGAAAACTGGAATTTGTATAAAGATAAGGTAATCTTCCTTATCAACAAATACGTGCTGCTCCGAAATATACTTGAAAATAATCAGTCACCTTGGTTCACGAAAGCCCTGAAGAGACTGTCAAATAAAAAAAAGCGCTTGTACCGTGCGGCCAAGTTTTCCCAGTGTGAGCGTCGCTGGGCCGCATATCACAATTCTGTAGAAGTGTACAAAAAAGCGATTGAAGGCGCTAAATCTCACTTTTTCACACATAGTCTTCCAGACATGTTGGTAAATAACCCCATTAAATTTTGGAATACTGTTAACAAAAAGGACCGTTTTTCAATTTCTCTTACAACTTCTAGTGGTGACAGCGTGCCCAGTGACGAATGTGCTAATGTCTTAAATAGTATATTTATGGAATCTTTCTCCGATATTCGCAACATAACTTACCCTTCGATGAGCTGTTCCTGTTGTCTGCCAATGGATTCTATCTTTGTTGATCCTGCTGGTATTGCAAAAATTATAGATGAACTGAAGTTATCATCCTCATCGGGAGTGGACGGAATTAATTCCAAGTTTTTAAAAAACACTAAACTATACTCATCTCTTATTCTCTCAAAATTGTTTGAACAGTCGCTGCAAGATGGTATTTTACCTTGTGATTGGCGAGTGGGGAAGGTGGTTCCAATTCCGAAAGGTGGCGATAAGTATTCCCCTAACAATTATCGTCCCATTTCATTAACCAGCATACCATGTAAACTTCTGGAACACGTTATCTTTTCCCAACTCGTACATTTCCTAGAGTCGAATAATTTTTTCACCGAAGCACAGCACGGATTTCGTAAATCATTATCTTGTGATACTCAGCTCCTATCCTTCACTCATGACATTCATTCTATTCTTGACCGAGGCTTTCAGGTGGACTGCATTTTCTAAGATTTCGCCGAGGCATTCGATAAGGTGTGTCACGAGCTATTACTGTTAAAACTTTCAAAACTTTACATTGACCCTAACGTTCTCGGATGGATTCGGTCTTTTCTAAATAACCGTTCACAATTTGTAACAATTAACAACGAAAATTCTCCTCCCGTGTCTGTGAATTCTGGAGTTCCTCAAGGGTCGGTTTTAGGCCCACTACTATTTTTAATCTATATTAACGATCTTCCCATTAATGTGTCTTCATCCGTTTGTCTCTTTGCCGATGACTGTGTAATTTACCGTGAAATCTGTCACGATTCTGACCTGTCTACACTTCAGTCTGATATTAACTCTGTCTCTCGTTGGTGTGAATTATGGCTAATGAAACTAAACACTAGTAGATGTAACCAAATGAGAGTGTCCCGCAAGCCTAACAACAGTCCCTGTTACCACCTAGATGGCAACCTTTTGGAGCAAGTGGCAACGTACAAGTACCTTGGTGTTGACTTAACAAATAACCTTTCATGGAAACCCCACATTCAATATGTTACTACCCGTGCTAACTGCATGTTGGGCTACTTAAAACGCAACTTTTCATTGGCACCTATTTCACTAAAATTGATCCTCTACAAAACATTAATCAGGCCTAAATTAGAATATGCAGCCTCCATCAGGGATCCCGGTCACGATACTCTAATCACTGCATTGGAATCCATTCAGAATAGGTCAGCCCGTTTCATTCTTTCCAACTACCATCGTACTGCTAGTGTCACATCAATGAAAAATAGTTTATGTTTACCACTTCTCTCCTTGCGACGTAAAATTTCACGCCTATGTCTATTTCATAAAATGTATTTTCATAACCCTCTCCTACGCAATCGGATGATTACTCCCCCCTTTTACATTTCATCCCGTCTTGACCATCAGCATAAAGTTGGAGTTCCAAGTTCGTTTACCACAACATTTCAATCTTCTTTTTTACCCCGCACAGCCGAGGAATGGAACCACCTCCCCGGTTTGATTGCTACTATAACTGATACTAACTTGTTTAGAAATTCCATCACTAGCTATTTTAGCAGTGACCCATGACCTATTATTATTATTATTATCCTTTGTTTGTTGTACATTTAATATTGTTGACTTGTTACTATATTACTATCTTTGTTTCATGTATGTGCTGTCCCCCTCTGTAATGCCTTCGGGCCCTGAGGGTACTTTCAATAAATAAATAAATAAATAAATGGTGATACTGGCAGAAATGGTGTTAGATAAGGCGGTTGATAAGTGAGCATTGTTGACTGGGGTGGACAGTTATCTTTGCTCCATCACCTCTAGTTGAGATAACAAGTTCAGCAGGTTACATGATCTGGAAATAGCACTTCAACTTTTGTTTATCGCATCCTAAAAGTTAGCCCACTTTTTATTTTTACTTGATTTTCTCTATATTAGGTGAGCTATCTCTCAAAATATATATTGATGACTGAAATCTGTGTGACAACTGAATCAATAGGCCAGAATGAACAGTAACACATTCTCTCGGATTGGTGCGACATTTTTGGCAAAACTGTATTTCTTTCGATTATCTTGAATTGCACTCTCTTTACATTTCATTTTGCACTTTGAAGGGAAGTGAAGATGCTGTCTGTGAAAATGACTTGTTTCTTTATGTTCATGCTTGTCAATTGTCTCCCTTGATTCTGCAGGTGAAAGCTTCAGACACCTTAGCAGGCATTGCTGCTCGTTTTGAGTGCACCCCCGGGGAATTGACCATCGCAAACCGTCTGAACAGTCGGCTCATATTTCCTGGTCAGGTGAGTGCTGGCTGGCTCCTAAGTTAAAAGACAGTTTGAGATTGGTTCACAAGTGTTGTGTCGGGTGGTTTAAACCAGAAAGAAGCCGGTTATGCAAACTAATAGCAGTCTTTATACATGGTCGCCAAATGGATCTCCTTGGATTGGCTTGCCTTCTTCCGGCTTACCGAACAGCTTGCTAAAGTCATATTACAAATGAAATCGAAACACAACAAGCGCTTTTGCATAATTTCTTGATGAAGCAATGCACAGTACAACCCATTTCTATACATAGGATTTTCAGTGAGCTGCATGAATTTATTTTCATAGAAACCGTGGAGTAGCACTGCAAGTTTCATGAAGATGGTTATAGTTTGGCGTATGTATTCTTGAAAATATCAAAAGGTTCTCAGGGTCAACAGCTGTGGAGAATGCATTAATGTCTCTTTAGGATAACTCGTGCTTCAACATTACTTTGCAGTGATCGTTCATTTTCATTGTTTCATATACAGTTTCTGGGAATGCTGCACAATTTCTTTATTTCAGTCCCTCCAGATGCACTGTACCTGCGGTTAGTTGTGAAAGTAATTTGGTGTAAAGTGTGACAGTTCATGAGGTGGAGCTCATGGCTGGTTCTAGCTTTGGTCAGTCCAGTTCTTTGTTTATTCTAGTAGCCATCTTATGATTGTTATGATGATTTAATATGTTTCTTCTCACGTTCTACTTGAACAAGGTTCTTCTATTTGACTGGTTGTTTAAGTCTGCAAGTTTGTACCATAGACAGATTTTTCACTGTTGGCTTTTCACTTCTAGCATTATTCTTTTAAACATACGCACAAGGCACACACCATGTAACATTGATGCCTCAACAAATAAGAGTTGTACAGCTCTGACTGGGAAGGTCTTGTCTGATTAATTAATTATTAATTTTTAATTAATTATTTTTATACCTTGAGGACCCTTTTCTGGGTACTAGAAAATAGTCTAGAAAAGATAACAAAAATAGTCAAAACAACGCATGTACACGCTTACAATTGAAACAATAACAAAACTAGTTCTTATTACAATTTTCGAGTCCAACTACTATAACTAATAAAGACGGCGATAATTTCTTGAAATTTAGTGGTGTTAGTTTTTGTAACAACTTTCTTATTCGACAAGAGATTCCATTCTGCAACAGCAAGCGGTAGTGTTGAATTTGTGAAAAAAGAAAATGAAGCACAAACGAATTTCACTTGTCTTAGATGTCTGTTGTGAATTCATTGTAAGGATGCCTTAAGCTAGCATTGCGTATCTGAGCGACAGAGATTTCCAGTCTGACAGCATTTCTGCCATCACGCAGGTGCTGTTCATTCCCCTGAAAGAGAAAGAGGCTCAGAATGCTGAGCTCATGGACTTTGCTGAACATGACAGGCCCAAGGACAGAGACAAGGTCTGTATGTGGCACTGCATTTGTAATTGGTCAATTAAATTGTGGAGGCTCGCAAAAGGCCGGAGCTCATATCTTTGTTTTAAATCGCTGCATGAGTCAAATAGATTTTTGGCCCTTTTGATGAGACCGCATAAATCTGTTTCGTAACGGATTGTGGTGAAATTTTTGTACAAAGGTGGCCGAAGATGGTGCATTGTGTGCATTAAAATTTCAATGAATCAACTCAACCGAATAAAAGCTAGGTCGTCTGCCTGGTAACGAAAGGTGTCAGGTCAACGCAGCGGCAGCCAACTGGTTTGTGTCGTGTCATCTCGACAGACGCCTGGCGTGGGCTTGCAACACGGGCCGGGGAGCTCCTTCCTGTCCGGGGAAAGGGCGTGCTCCCCACGGATGCTCCAGTCCCCTCCCCCGGACTCCCCGTCGGACTTCCTGGAGCACCGGCACCAGACCTCGATGGAGATGCTCGACACCGGGGATCAAGAGAGCAAGGTCAGCCGGCATTCCTTCAGTTTAGAATCTGCTTGGAGTACCGAAAATGACCGCCGGAGTCCACAGCCATTCGACGAAGCACCATTTGGTGAAATGGCATCCGTTGAAAAAGACTGACAGTTTCTTCGGTATTTCCCAAGGTTTCTTTTAATGTGCGAGATTCGCAGCTGCTCTACTATGTCATGATGTTCTGCGAGGTCACTGTGTCACGTGACCATTGGGAAATTAAGACACATGACGACCGGGAAAGTGTGTGGTCAGCGACCAGTAGGGAATCTAGCGAGGTAGATTCCCTACGACAAACATTTTTCATAAAAATTACAAATTTGACCCTTTTTGCCTGCACAATTTGAGATGAAATCACCCATCTAGAACTACTAGTAAATTCTGTAGCTATTTACAGATTTAACTGGTGAACCTGTACCACACGGTGTTTAGAAGGTTGTGCGTGGTACGGCTGTCGTCCCTCCAGGAGAACCTCGAGATGTTCCTGAAGATCTCGTCGCGGCACATCACGGACGGCCAGGGGGTGGTGGCGGGGACCCTGCTCGTGACGCCCAACAACGTGATGTTTGTGCCCAATGTGTCGGACCCCCTGGTCATGGAGCACGGCTCGGAGCGCTACGAGGTCACGGCCCCCATGGACATGGTCGTGGCTGCTGCCCTCTACAACGACATCGCCCACATGCGCCTCAGGTCGGTGGCTCTCGGTGGCCGTTCGTGGCTTGCTACGGGACGGATCTAAAGCTTCTTGATTGTTTGTCTTACTAATAGTTTTCTGTGCACGAGGCGTGCGCCTCGTGTGGCCCTTGGAAGCTAATGGCGGCGATGCACCGACGTCAGCGGCCCTTGGAAGCGAATGGCGGCGGAGCACCTGCTAGTGACGCGTTGTCTCGCGCATTTGCGAAACAATGTTTGGCGTTACCTGTAAGAAACGCGAGGCGTGGATTTTATTGAGGGACTTTAGTTGGACCCAATGGTGCGTTTTCCCTTTGAATGGAACACATAGATCTGTTTCGTAATGTTGTGCACAACAATTGAGTTCAAAAATGCTAGTAGGGGTGAATTTATAATTCGAAAGGATGAAAATGTGAGCTTGCCAGAGTAGAAAGAATTGTTTTCTTCTCTATAGATGTACTTCCTGCTAAGCCTCCTTTAATATTATTTTTATTCACTATACCGTACACAAAATCATTAAATAGCATTGTGGGTTGTTGTGGTGTTGCAAGAAATTAAATGGCTGCAAGGAAAAGGAAATAAAATTAGCTTATGTTTTATCCCCCTCCTTTTAATTTGGCAGACCTCAGTGGCCTGTTATGTTGCTCAATAGTTTCACATATAAACAAGCTTAGCCCATAAAAAACATTCTTTGTTGTTATTTTATTTTGAACTCATACCTTCACATTTTTGTTACCAAGAACACCATCTTATTACTAGGGCTGGGCAATTGATTGATTAACCTTCCAATTAATCGATTAAGGCTTTAACGAGATTGAATGTTTTAACCGGTTAATCGGTTTTTTAATCGGTACTCAAAAAGAAGTTTAATGGGTGCACGCATGGCTCTATCCTGGTTTTCAGAACTCAGCCAGGTGCTATGAGCAAGGTTCAATTCTCGCGCTCACGAAGCATCACATGTTCGAGAATATCCATTACAGTTGTGCCGAGGTCAGACGAACAAGCAGGCCCCGCAAATGATCCCCGCGGGATTGTGAAACTTCACGTGTTGAGGATCTATTACATATCCTGCCCAGGCTAGACAAACAGGCCGAAAAACAAGGTGGGAAGCTGACAAACGCCATGGTTACTTGTTCCATTATTCGGCTCGTAAAACTGGACGAGTTCACGAGTATGCAAGGCGATCTAGCCGAAAAGTTTGGGTTTAAAGTAAACTTCAGCGGTGAAGTTTTTGACTAGAAGGAAGTCCCCTGCATCATCTGCAAAAAGCAGTTTTCATACAGTGGAAGCGTAAGTTCGCTTCAGTATTGCCTACGAGCGAAGCACCAATGTACGCCGCTGCAGCAAGGACCATTCGCCAAAACGCAAACAACAATCAACGCCTTCTCATCAGGCCCCTTTCTCTGAAAGAAGAAGAAAGCATCGCCCAAGCCCCGACTTCTTGTCTTCCTGTCGGAGAATGTGGAGCTGGAGCTGGAGCAAAAATGTGTGTCTTTGAATCGTTGAACTATATGTATCCTCAATTCTAAATGTCCTTTGCACCATGTAACAGAGAGTAAAATAAGTCTTCAAAGGCAAGACGAGGTGTTGCATTCTTTTCAATATATTATAAAAATGAGCGCAACCGATTAATCAATGAATTAATCGATTAAAGGGTAGCGATTAATCGGGTTAAAATTTTTAATCGATGCCCAGCCCTCCTTATTACACCTCTGAGCTAAGCTGAATGTTAGGAAAGATGTAGTTGTGCTGTCCCTGTTTTAATTGTTTATTCTTTCTTCTTCCATGACTTAAACCAACACGCTCTTCTACTAAGCATAGGAAATTAATTTGTAAAGTCCCTTCAGAGGACTGATGTGCCATTGAGTCCTCCCTGTAGAGGTGTCCTATGCTGAATAAAAGCTGAAGAATGTTATGTTTGTAGAAGTACATACTGGTGCAGACACTTCTGGCACTGACATAGCGAAGATTTTTTTTCCAAGAAGTGGTATGCTTCTTAGAAAAAAATCTTCATAGACATATCGCCGACTAAGGGGAGAGAGGGGGCTCAGGGGCGCGAGACCCCCCCCCCCCCCCCTCCTTGGGAAATGCCTCCCCCCCCCGCAGACACACACACTACCCCCCACTCCCCCAGGGATAGCGCTGCCCCCCCAAAAATTTACAGGGTTTGATTCACCGCAAAAATAAACTGTGCATCACTGAACACTCATTCTCCGCCCAAATGTAGCCCTGGATGTATGAACCACAT